CGTCGCGTAAAAGTGAAATAAATATCATTTTTCATAAAACCATAACGTCACGCTTTTGAATTCGAGTTATGTTTTGATCAATTAATGAATATGATGTTATGAAAGTATTTCGCCATGACACCTTATACTGTTTGAGTGATTTAAAAATACATAATTATATATATATATACACATAGCTGAATCGGCAAACTTCGTACCACCATAAAAAAATCATTCCTGATTTCTTAAATCCTTTTAAACATTCATTAGACTTCCAAGAACATTTAAAAACTAAAATTACCCAAATTGGTTCCATTCTCGAGTTTTAGTGAGACTAACAAAATAGAAATTCATTTTTATTTAGATAGATAATGTTTTCAAAAATCTGTATCTAAGTCACATTAGGCATTAACTAGTTATCATAAGTAGGCATATTGATTAAATTATTTGTATTCTACACTGATAAGATAATTCGCGAACTGGAGTGCCAGGTGCAAGGGCGGCTCTTGGAATGTGACGTCATTAATCAGTAAACAGCTGTAATGCATTTAGTTTGTCGTACGATTTCTAGTTACCATAGTATCAGTTGTTCAGGTGTGGTTAATAGATAATTGTAATTCTAAGTAAGTATATTTATATACTTGGTTATCGACGTCTACTGCTGGACAATGGCTTAAGTTTTAGTCTTCCACGTCGACTACAACTGGCCACCTGCATCCACTGGCTCCCCGCAACTCTGGCGATGTCGTCGGTCCACCTAGCGGGAGGACTGCCCACGCTTCGTATTCGGTCCGTGGTCTCCACTCAAGGACTTTCCTGGCCCATTTGCCGTCTATCTGTCGAGCGACGTGCCTGCTCATTGACACTTCAGTCTGTAGATTTTGCGAGCTATGTCGGTAACTCTAGTTCTTTGACGAATTTCCATATCTCGGATTTTGTCGCGCAAAGAAACCTCGAGCTAAGCGACTTTCAGCCTCTCTTGACTTTGAAATTTTTAACTATAGAGGTTCAATTACCTACTTTGTTGATAGTGGTTGTTTCATAAAATGTGGATCAGAAGATCTTCAGCTGGAAAATTTACTGTTAGTTGAATTTCATGATTCCATTAGTTTTAGAAATAACAACTAAGCTAACTATCGATAGCATAGTTTTCATTCGTATATGTATATAATATAATACACTGATTTCTTAGTTACCTATTACACAATAAAAAGGTACCAAAATACAAAAGAAAAAGAGCTTACAACCGCTTCCACAAAGTTAAAAATTGCATCTAAGAAGTGAAAGAGTGATGTGTTGAGCGTCCTTACCGACCTACTTCCCGAGTTAAGACGATCTATAGGAGCACTTACTTAGTATAAATTGCTATAGGTAGTGACCCAGGTACTCAACTAATGTGAGAACACTACTTGTTAGACATGAAGTCCTGGTACCTTGAGATATATTAGTGAGTTATTAATGTAGTAAAGAAAAAATATTACTACTACTGTTTTGTAGTATTTTTTTTCTTTCTTGTGACAATTATATCTACATTTTAATTTGATGTTATGTCAGACTGACTGCCTCGATGACCGAGGGGTCGCAAATATTACTGCCAGGCATGTGGTCTTAGATTCGATTCCGAGTTTTCGTGAGTGATACACAATTATCACAATACGGGTACTACACGGAATTACCTCTATATTTACCTAAAATCCGTTCCATTAAAAAAAAACCCATATTACTTATAACATGGAAAATAATTTCGTCTGGATAATGATAACTTACATTTCTTGCATTATCGGGATTTCTTTGTTTATCACAATTAACTTATTACGATAATATAGTGATAACTCCTAATTATACTTTATCAGCACCTGCGTTCAACTGAGTTCCTGCGTAAATGCGATCACCTTTCTTTAAAGACAAATTGATAACAGAATATCTGGCTTTATATCCGCACCAAGATTAGACGGAAATACACGTTGTACGTTTATTTTATGTTGGTACAAGACGTTCAGTGTTCTATCTGCGATCACCAACATACCAATAGTGGAGATTATTGTATGACTTCGACTGATGAAGATGCAAGCAAGAACATCACGTCAGGTCGGTCTACGCGATATAATACTGCAGCACCAATTACAAGGAAGCTAAATAAATACAGCTTGTTTTAAAATTATATAATTTAAATTTGAAATTGAAGCCAAATTAATCAATTCATGACTTACAAAGTAGTTAGAAATTCCCAATAAATATACGCGCAGCGAGCAGTGAGTAGGTACAACGCATTAACATTATTTCCAAGTTTATACTTCCTTTATCAAAGTCCAACTTAGATAATTGTACTAGACATGGAGTACCTACATATCTGTTTTTGAAATAGTTTTGCAAGCAAATACATTTAACCAAAATTCAATACAGTCTACATAATATGCTTTTGATGTAGCGATCTACATTTACGAAGTCTTCAGATTAGTTTTAAGAACAGAGTAGTACAGACATTTTTGACGGGGAGAAGCATCCAATAACTTCTCCTACCCTGGTTGAGGCGAGAGGGAGTATCAGACTCTCGCTAACTAAAGTCCCACCGTATTCTGGGCTGACTTTTAAAATCTTTTTGTCGGCATTTGCTTTTTTTAATAGATTCCGAAACTTTTATACGAACTCATCGTACCACCATCGTAATAGTAATAGATATTACAGTTTTCAATTAATTTCAATTATGGGCTCCAGGCGTGGCTTGAAACTATTCGATTTGTAACACAAATGAACAGAACATGCTCGACCGGAGTGATACCACGGCCTCATAGAAAACTGACGCGAAGTAACGCTTGCATTGTGTTTTGTCGAGAACGTGAGGTTACTTGAGGCCTAATTACCCCCCTCCCCTCTCCCCCAATCTCTCCAATACATGAATCCTCAAACCCTTAATCCCGGCGACAACAATTGCTTACCATCAGGTGATCCTTCTGCTCTTTTACCGGCTTATCCCATAAGAAATAAAAAAATAATGTCATATTATACCTATTTCATTATAATTTTTATTTTATAAGTCAGAAATCACCAATTCACAGTGAGCAAGCGTGGTAAGTACTGCTTAAACTCTCTCTGTGTGAGAAGAGGCCTTTGGTCAGCAGTGGTCACTTATAGATGTCAGCACTGGTCACATCAACAGATGTGATATGATATATTAATAGATATTTAGGTACATATCTGAAAATTAATTTCTACATGTTTTTTTTTTTTTTTTTTTTTTTTAAATCTTACATTTCATATTCTCCACGGACTCTTGTCCGTGCCCTTGTCATTCCATTACATTTTCTTTTAATAATTTACAGTCAAAATTACTTGTTACAAAAATCTTACGTGCTACATTAACCACATTTTTTTTTTCACAAAGAAGGTTGTGTCTAAATCTAATATCTATATATACACAATACATGTTTTATTACATTTACATTAACCTTACTGGATCGGCCCACACGCGCGATGAGCGAGCCGACCTGCTCCAGCAGAAGGCGCCCGTTCACGAGCATGACGTGAGGGCCAGCAATCGATCCGATCAACCATTTCGTAGGGAACGGAGCGACCCAGTCCACAGCGCCACCGACTGTAGAACATTTAAGAATGCATGACGTCTGCTCACGCAGCAGTAAGCCGATTCCAGTAGTGCCAATGGATTTTGTCAGTCTTATTGATAAAATTTACATTACGTTACATTATATTTACTACATTTTAACATTATTAAACACACACAAATATAGAGGTATATTAATGTCACGCTTGCATCACAATTTAAGCTTACAGCGAGCCCTCCCCACCCAAAAGAGCGCCCACTACCGCCATGTCCCTGTTGCTGATAGCCATTTTCAAGTTATAGTCCAGGATCCCCCGCTCACTCTCACCCACCGCTCGTCTGATTAATTTGCTGATCGCGTCGTCACTGATATTCGTGTAGTAAACACAGCTGTTTGTGTGACGGGATATAGCTACCACGGCGTGCGATACACTGTCGTGTATCCGCTGTTTCTTCTCCGCTGTATTCACAACAACCACTGCCGCGTACGAAAGCCCCTGAGCCTCGTGTATTGTGAGTACGCGTGATCCCACACCCGATCCGTATCCCTGGTTTTTAAGGGATTCCTTTTCTACCTGAGTGTGTACCAGGTATAACGTGTTCGGAGGAGATTTGGGTATTCGCGACCCTGAGAAGCTTTTTAACTCAAGGGATCTCACACCCGACGCGGACGAATATATGCCACTGTACACAGTACTGAGAGCATATGCCACATCCATAGGGTTTCTGTGAGTGCAGAGAAGTTCTTGGCTAATAGCCGCGACGTGCGTAGGGCGGTTGTAAATGAGGGGGAAGAGGTTGTCTCGGTCAATGAAGGGAAGTTGATTTATGTCACCAATCAGCAGAACTTCCTTGGCCCGAGTTATTCGGGCCGCCATCACAATGGCCCCAAAGTGATTCATGAGAGCCTCATCAACCATGATTCGGTGGCAGCTCTCTTGCTCTTTTAATCCGTTCACTAAAATGGATGCCATTGTTCGGACTTTGGATTTGACTAATCCTCCGATTCGGCAGGATAGTTTGCCTCTGAGGTCATTTGCTGCTTCAGTTGTTGTGGTGACGATTAAATCCCTTTCCGCTTCGAATTCATTTATTATCCATGTAGTTTTGCCGCATCCCGGCACTCCATTTGTCCAGTGAAATGTCGGGGCATCCCAGCCCCCAAAGTCCACGCCGCCCGGCCCAGGCTCCGAAATGGATCCCACCATTTCCAAGATCCGATCCTCCAACATAATCCTGGTGCACCCGGCAACTACCACTAAGGAGTCTTCAGGAGGAGTTTTAAATTTCACAACTCCCCGTTTATCCGATTCCTTCTCATCCAGAGACACAAATCCTGCGGTGGCGTTGTAAGCTGCCATACTACGACTTATAGAAGCTCCTCTCAATACTCTCGATTTACTGTTGTCGTATATGACCGCCTCCGCAGCCTCGAGTCTATCATTCAGTAACAGCTCGTTACCCTGCAGATATGCCTGCAGGATCGTTTTGCAAGTTCGCAAGTTAACTTGTTTTGTTGCCTCTATTACTGCGACAAACTCGAGGAAGGCGTTTATGAGGTGGTCTCTGGGAGTGGTGGCATGGCGAAACTTCGGCGGAGAAACGTGACCCATGGCGGCTTTGGTTGGCGGTGACCTGGACTGGGCAAGATGCACCCGAGCACTGTCGCCTCCCCCGCGAGTGGAGCCGGATTCACTCCTTCTGAAAGTCGACGAAATGAGACCCGCAGCTGTACATATGGCTGATGTTATTGCCCACATGTTGGTCCGTGAAGTTTGTTTCTTTATTTGTCTTTCGGTGTTTCGTTGTTGTTGCTGTAGAGCACTTTGTTCCGAATACCTGTGCTGCAGACGCTCCGAACCACTTGAAGAGCCAGCGATTGGTGAACTCTGGACCTTTTTTCTGAGGAAACTGAGGTCTTCACCCCTGTCCTCATAAACAATGACTTCATGCTGTTCTGAAGCTTGAATACAGCCCATGAGATCCGCTGTCTCTCCCCGCCGGAAAGCCACCACAGCAGCATCCACGCTGATAACTCTAGAATCTATGCCCTCTACTTTACCCCACTTACCTATACTGGTCAGCACCTTGCATGCCTGTTCAAAACAGGTTGTCGTATTGTTGCCAGAAAACATTGCGATTGTTTGTGAATTTCTACATGTTGTAAAGTTACCTCTCCACATAGTCACTTCAACTAGCAAATAACTTAGAATTCTACTTCAACAAACGGCGTACTCTTGAACAGTAATTTACGTATTGATTAGTGTAGAACAGTAACTGTGAATAGATAATGTTCTAACGTTTGCCATCGATTTGTTTGTTCACTTTGTGTTACAGGGATGGTTGGTCTAATTGGGTACTTGGTTAGGTTTTGGTTGGAGTATTAATAGCAATGTAGTACTATGGTGATTCTACTGCTAATCTGCGCGTCTTTTTTTTTAAGGGTAATCATCGAACGGTTTCTCTCGCTTTGTTGAGGCGGGAGGGAGTGTCAGACTGGTACGGACTAAAAACCACTCTGTTCCTACTACTGTCTTTCGAGCCGGAGTCCCGGTAACCCGTTAAGTCCTCCGCGGTTCCGTATCGGCATCAGCCCTATTGGGCCCCATTCGTGATAGTCTGATGGCTCTTGAGCTTTGACATACGTTCGGGTCTGGTTCTGGTCTGGCGGCGAGCCACCCATGCTCGTCGTTTGCAGGCCCGTGCTTACGGTGGCCGCAGATCATCCCGCGACTCCCAACGCATGCTGCGCGTCTAGGGTTTTGTTCTCGTGCATAATGTTTGTATGTCCTATGACGAAATAGGTCGTGGTGGCCCGGAGGTTATATGTACTTTCTAATATTATCCAGACACCAATGCCAAAAGGTGAAGGAAAACATCGTGAGGAAACCTGGGCTTATAATTTCTAATTATAAGTTTATAATCGCCAATCCGCATTGAGCAAGCGTGGTGATCAATGCTCAAACCTCCATGTGACAAGAAGCTTTGCTCAGCAGTGGGCATTTATAGGCTGTTGAACTCATGTCGAAATACACAAACACCACTTAATTTTAAGTCGCGTTTAAGTATAGTTTTGTCTCTACAAATTCTTTGTAAAATGACAGAGACGGGACGATATTTAAGTACAACTTAAATTGTGTAGCCTTTCAGTATTCGGGCGCTAAAGTTCTATTACAATACTGCTTCAGGTCATACAGACACCATGGTTAATAGATGTTGAATGGCTAACTTAAAAAAAGTAAAGATAATTTGTATTTTTAAATACTACAATAGAGTTCCATCGGCGCGGCGTTTGCATGGCATTTTTTTTTTAATTTCCCAAAGAGATGTTAGTGTAGAATGTATTTTGATGTTACATTTTTTTTGCTTTTTATTTTTAAACTTATGAGGCCATAAATGACAAAGTAGATATTGAAATGAAACTTTGACGAGTTCAACAATAATTAAAATCTTTAACATAACTTTCTTTTAACAAATTAAAAGCCTATTTTTCAATCATCAGTTAATTCATAACTGTATAATAAAATTGACAGTTGACAGTTTTTAGTACGGAAGCATTGTCAAATATTGAATTTAAAATTTCTCAGTTAAAATTTATCTGAGCATTGAAAAGTTGGCCCTAAAAGTAAAGAAAAATAAACAACAACTACAAAATCAAAACAGTAACAATAAAAACAAAAGCTAGTATTCAAAGAAACTACTTACCTCAATCAAAACTAACTTTTAAATCCATCTCTAATCACTATATTCTTCTAATAATATAATAACAGTTATTATTAATATAACTATTAATAATTTAACGAGCTCCCGAAGCAGTATATCATATCACTCATAGATATTCACTGACCGCCTACCGAATTGATAACGTGGAATCAATAAATCGGTTGCCTAGCAACGTATCAAAACATCTGCAATACATTATTTTAACACTTGATTGCGTTGTACGTATAATAAAGTTATGTGATTAGTTTTGTAAAAAAATTTTGTAAATAACAAGAAATGTATAAAAATATATTTATGTTAAATGGTTTTACAGGGCTTTATTCTACCAACTTTAGACTTTA